CTCTCTCTCTCTCTCTCTCATTGTCTGTCTCTCACTCTCTGCCCCTCTCTCTTTCTGTCTCTCTCTTTCTTTCTTCCTCTCTCTCTTTCTCTCTCTCTCTCTTTCTTTCTCTCCGTCTTATTCTGTGTGCGTGTGCGCGTATATGTGCGTGTGTATGAGTACGTGTGAGAGACAGAGAAAGAAAGAAAAAAAGAGATGGGAAGAAATCTATAGAAAGAATTAGAAGAAAAGAGCTGGTTCGTGGTTTCTCTTAATGTTCATTTAATTGGAGAACTTGCGGCTTATCTGGAAACCCAGCTGAAATGAAACCCTTTTCCAAAGAGCAAATTCTTATAAAGTTGTTCCAACCCATCCACACCACGAACCCCCCAAAACATTGCTTTGTTTGTAACATCATTTACTGTAGTGGCATTTTGCACTTTTTCCACGCCTTGAACACTTTCAGAATAACGAGCTAGTGTGCACGTACAATAAAAGAACATCCTTAAAAACGAAGCAAAAAAACCCACCAAAAATACTCCCCACCCCCTCCAGAAAACAACCACACGCCCCCCCCCTAAAAAAAAAACAAAAAAACCCCGAGCAAAAACAATTCAATTAAAGCAAGAACAGAACAGAACTCCACAATATTTTCGGCAATAAAAGAACAGTCGATCAAATTCACATTTATTTTATCCGCATAAGGAAACTAGCTCTAAAATACGCCTTCCGTCTCTGCATTGATCTTACACTCATTGATTTTTTGTTTTGTTCTCAAAATGTCAGGTTCTATATGAGATTTTGTAGACACGATTGCATGGCAATGTTCTCGGGGCCAGCATTAAATCTTTGTAAGCACAAAGGTGCAGGTACCAAAACGAAATAACAGCACTTTTGAGGTTTTTTTTTACGTGGTACACTTTTCTGATGAAGTTACGCCTACTGTGGCAGCGAAACGGCGTTCAGACGTTAAGACGAACATACATCGACGAAAAGACATCTGTGACATCGAAATCCTGGATCTGGAAATAATACAGAATCAAACATAGACCCTCCCTCCCCAGAAAAACTAGATCTACAGTAGCCGTCAAGGTCTTTAACTCCTCTTCCTCCTTGGACGTTGAAAGTCATCATCCATTCCTTTTATTTGATGATGATGTGTCTATTAAACACATTTTAAACATTTTATTAAATATATTGTTATGTTATTTTGTCTGAAATTCAAACAAGGCTCTCCCTCCTACTCTACTTTCCAAACAATGATGATGATGATGATGATGATGATGATGATGATGATGATGATGATGATGATGATGATGATGATGATGATGATGATGATGATGATGATGA